ACCTATTAGGGATTGTTTATTGGCCATATCAGTGTTTTATATATATATATATATATATATATATATATAGTTTTATTTAGTTTTTTTGTGTGTATTTATTTTTTATTTGTTTTGTTATTTATTATTATTTATATATTTATTTATTTATTTTATTACACTAATATCACTAATAATTTTGAGCAAATCACAAAAATGATTATATAATTTGAAACACTGTACATTATAATTTTGTGATGCCTAAATACACTTGTAGCATTTATAAAGATTTTTGTTATAGTGTTTTCTTTTTCTTTTTTTTTTTTACACACAATACTATTGTAACATTTAGTAAGTACAATTTAATATCTGCCAGGTTATCAATATTAGCATATTATTAATTAAAAGTTATTAGCCATAACGTTGAAATAATTATCATGAGATTTGCTGAAGATTACATTTAACAGTGTTAATAAATTATTAATGTTTTTGAACATTAACTTTAAGTGAGCGTTAGAAGATGGCAAGAGAAACAAGCATTTATAATTAAATATTCAATTAAATTAATTAATATATTAAATATGTTTATATATAAGAGATTAAATATAGAATAAAACATAAGTGTATATATATATTAGGGCTGCGCAATTCATCAAATTTCTAATCGCGATTACAATTATGGATGCTACAATTACATAATCGTTCAAAGCGGCAATTAATCGTTCAAAGTCCACTTACAGTGGGGCAAAAAAGTATTTAGTCGGCCACCAATTGTGCAAGTTCTCCCACTTAAAAAGATGAGAGAGGCCTGTAATTTTCATCATAGGTATACCTCAACTATGATATAAACATCAATCAATGTAAATTGTGACAATTGAAATTAATAATCGCAATTACAATTTCACGGGAATAATCGACAATTGTGATTTTTGTCATAATTGTGCAGCCCTAATATATATATATATATATATATATATATTAGGCAATAATTGATATTATAATGTTAATAATTATATATATTATATATATAAATAATAGCTAATTATTATTTTATTTATATGATATATTTATATTATAGAATTGTATTTATATTATATAATATTTTATAAATACTGTGCATCCCTAATTCTCACAGCTCACAATGTCTAGCGATTTAAACAGTGTGCAAAGTGCATCTTTTGTATCAGACTGCAAAAAAAGTCCTATCATTACTGTTGATTTGTTAATTGCGAGTGATTACAGATCTGACCCATGTTCTGTGATTCTTCCCTTGCACATCCTCTGCCCCGAGGCTGAAGATGTTTGGTCCTCATCCAGCAACCATATTTCTTCCTGGATGTGGACCAAAGACCTCCATACCTTCCAGATGAGGTCCGACAGAGCACAATATGGCTCGAGAGCTACGTCCCCCCTGAGGGACATATATTGAGAGCCGTGATCCATGTGAGAGTGGTTTTATGTGCTGGGCGTGTGCACGGTTGATAGATGCCTGTGAACTCCAGACTGCATCCAGATATGCCATGAGGACGAGAGACTCAGGGCGTTTACGCTAGAGCTTTTGCTCCGTTTGACGTCAGCGTCAATTGTTTGGTTGGCGTGAACTCTGGCGTGAGTCTGTCTGAAAACGAATCTAGGGCACGAGATCATTTTGGCCTATTTTGCTGAAGTTAACCACTATTGACAATTAAAGGGACAGTTAAAATGGCCCCATGATTTACTCACCCACAAGCCATATGACTTTCTTCTTTCAGACGAACACAATCAAAGTTATATGGAAAAATGTCCTGGCTTTTCCAAGCTTTATAATAGCAGTGAATTGGGGTCGAGATTTTGAAGCTCAAAAAAGTGCGTCTATCCATCATAATAAGTGCTCCACATGGCTCCGGGGGGTGAATAAAGGCCTTCTGAAGCGAATCAATGCATTTAAATATCCATATTTAAAATATGCTAGTCTCGCTTACAGCAAAGGAAAACCAGTCTCCTCTTGGCTTATATCGAAATCCTTCGACATTTTTCTTTACAAATCATCGTTTACTACTTCTAATTCATGACCGATGTTTTGTTTTGCTCTCTCCTCTGCGCTTCCGCATTTGTCACTTACGGAACTACATCTTACGTCATCTGCTGGAATGCCTTGAAAAAAAGAAGTTTTCACAGTGATGCCGCAGAAGAACCATTTTGGGTTCCTAAAAGAACTTTTAGTGAACAGTTCTTAAAGGTCCCCTGAAGTGCCTTGAAACACGCAGCATTATTCTATGTGGTGACGTAATTTCAAATGAAACAGGAAGAGAGGGCGGAACATATCGAGCAGCCCCGCCCCCTTTTTAAAATAGCCAATAGCGTTTAGTTTATATCTGCTCGGGCCAGAGCCATTGAGCTCGGTAAAGCCGTATTTGACAGCCACAGTCTAATTGATTACCCCCTAGATTCAATATGAAGCTCTTAGTAAAACAAAATAGTGGTCATAATCATGCTGAGGCTGTGTAGTTGTAAAAGTTTTTAATATATGCCGATTTGCGCATATGATCCGCTCCGTGCGATCGCGTCTCTGGACCGGAGCCAAAGTCCAAATCAGACTGTGTGCGCTGCCGCGGTTCGCGTGAAACAACGTTAAACCAGACCTCATTTGCACCAATCGAAAGCATATTTACACTATCTGAAATGTTCCCTATCACCTACATTGTGCACTTCGAGCCATTCACCGTACAGGAAAAACTACACTGTGAACAAGCGACTGATTTCAGCCGCAGATTCAGCGTCTATTTATAGTGCAGGGGGCGGGCGCTTCGGATTCTAGAGAGCATTTGATTGGTCAGAAGATATGATGAGAAGATGAAGTACGATGTGACGTCAAAAAAATCGTTGAGCCGTTTTGGCGGAAGTGAGGAACTGCAAGCTTTGAATGCTTATATCTTATAAATGCGAATTTTGTCACTGTTTTGGAGCACACTGCTTTATAGATAACCTTAAGACTAACATATTGATACTAACACCCAAGAAACTTTAATTTTGATTTCATGGGGACTTTAAAAATAACCTTTTCCACTATAAAGAACCTTCTGTGCATTTGAAAGGCTCCATGGATGTTAAAGGTTCTTTATGGAACCTTAGATGCCAATAAAGAACCTGTATTTTTAGGAGTATACGAGCAGTCAGATGTGGGTTTGGGCCATGCAGACAAACGGATCTTGTCTGTTAAAGTATAACATTCCTGATTCTTTAGCCCAATAGATATTTCCAGAGTCAGTGTTGGTGATTCAGGTCGGGATGACCGCAGCTAGAGGAAATGATTCGTATTTGTGTGAATGTGTGTGGTTTGACTCCTCCTGAACTAATGTGGAGATAAGATTCCATTCGGATGAAATCAATAACTGCTTACATCCAAACTCAGATGTTGACCTCCACACCCAAACTCACATTACCCTGGCGCTGACACCTCCTTCCTCTTCAACCCGTCCCATCAGTACTCCAGCTTCAGACAGGTTGTTTATCAGGTTGTTTTTGTGTGGTAAAGTGTGTTTTAAGATGTTTCATCGAGGAAAAATCCTGTCGTTAAGACTGTAGTGTTAAATCAGGAAAAAGATTATATGTTAAATGGAAAAAGTTCACATCCCCTTGAACCCTTGTTTTTTTAACAAGTGTACACTCTAAAAAAATAATAAAGGTATACCAAAAGTGGGGTTTTGCAGTAATGCCATAGAAGAACCATTTTTGGTTCCCTAAAGAACTTTTCAGTGATCAGTTCTTAAAGGTGTCATATGATGCTTTTTAAAGATCATTATTTTGTGTATTTGGTGTAACAGAATATGTTGACATGCTTTAATGGCCATTTTTTTCTTAGTGTGAAGAACGTTTTAAAAATCTAAAGAACCTTTTTCCATTATAAGAATCTTTTGTGGAATGAAAAGATTCCATGGATGTTAAAGGTTCTTGATGTCAGTAAAGAACCTTTATATGCCAGCGTGTAAGGTGGAGGTTTACAGTTGAAGGTTGATTTTTTTTCTATCTATCATGACTTGATAAAAGGCTTGTTCCAGTAAAGCTCAACTGCAGCTTGCATGGTGCTCATAATAATAAATACAGTACATACCTGGTAATGAACAAAAGTCACTTTCCAAAAAAAGCAAATACATACGTGTCCAAAATTGTGAAATTGACTAGCAATCAGCAATTAATTTGTCACATTTTTTACAAGCAAAGTGAAAACAATTTTTGCTCCTGATTTACTCAGCAAAGCCAAAACATTTTCTTCTGAACTTACTATCAAACGTTTGTTCTTTTGAGCTTTTTCTTTCAAACTGTCTTTTAAATATTTTCTTTTCTCTAAAACTGTTTATTCATTCTGAATTTAGCATCACTTTATTTCTTTTCTTTTTTTTTTAAATTACTTTTGAAACTTATTTTTAGAATTCTGAACATTATTTCAGATGTTCTATAAAAACATTCTTTTGAGCTTTTTATTTTCATAGTTGCGCATAAATACACAGTGCCTTTAGAAATCTCTGTATCAAATACAGACAAGCATCTTTTTCCCCCAGCGTTTGAACTGTTGTTTTGCCGCTAGTGATTATGGCAGCGTCGTTTCAGAAGCATGGTTAGGATGTCAGAGTGATTTCGCCGTCTGTCATTCACAGGCCCTGATCTGCCTGCTATCACATGGTCAACTTTAAAGGACAGGAAGAGGATGCATTTCTAGATGTCAGTCGTTCAGTCATCATGGTTCAAGACAGACCGCCGTCAGACATCTGCTTTCAACACAACCCATTCATCTCTCAATCTCTGTTCTGTCTCTATATAAGAAAGCGGTTTAAAAGTATTTTCTTTTTTTTTTTTTTTTTAATGTGCAAATAAGGTCAGCAGCCAACTGGCAAAGGATTTATTCACCAAAGCCAATCTTTGCTTGTATTTGATGCTTAGCAAGTGTCAATTGGCTGTCAATTGATTTTGGCTGAAAGCATGTGACCTATTTTATCAATCAGTCAAGCTTTCATGAGTGTCTCATATGTCTCTCTGTGTCTCTACAGTGCGTCCAGGGTCATCAGGCTAATAGAGACTCTCGGGTTCTTTGGGTCAAAGATGACAGCTTGCTCACGACTGGCTTTAACCAGGTAATTCTGAAGTTTACTACATACTTAAACGTGCATTATGTTTAATGTAGTGTAATGTGCACTAAATCACTCATTTATAATGGGTTTGCTTCTCCGATGTGTTAATAATGGAATGTGAAGTGTAAGTGCATCTGTGTTTGCAGATGAGGCAGCAGGAAGTGAGACTCTGGGACAGCAGGAAGTTGAGCTCGTCTCTCAGCTCGCTGTCTTTGGCCACGTCCAACGCGTAAGTCAATCCCACCAATGCAATTTATGCGCTCTACATGTGACCGATTTTCTGTGGTTTGCGTAGGGAAAATAGTTGCAGTCTGCAGGTGTGTAAATGCGTGTGCTGGATGGAAGAAAAACATTGTCTTTGAGAGCATCAATGACCACATTTACATGCGTATAGTTCATTATTCCTTTATTCTGAATAAAAAAAAGAACATTTATCAATGCATTAATTCTCATATCCTTTGAAACGGCATGCAAAAGCACAGTAAATGGAAAAATGCATGTTATTTTCTGATGCTTACTCCCGTATGCATATTGACTGATGTTCATTTCTTTTAATATTTAGTTTAAGGTTATTAGAATTTTTTTTTTTTTTAAAGAAATCAATACTTTTACTCCGCAAGGATGCATTAAATTGATCAAAAGTGACAGTAAAGACATTCATAAAGTTACAAAATATTTTTATTTCAAATAAATGCTCTTCTTTTGAACTTTGTTTATCAAAGTATCCTGAAAAATATATATATATATATATATATTTATATATATATTTCCACAAAAATATGAAGCAGCACAAGTGTTTTCAACATTGTTAATTATCAGAAATGTTTCTTGAGCAGCAAATCAGCATATTAGACTGATTTCTGAAGGATCACGTGACACTGAAGACTGGAGTAATGATGCTGAAAATTCAGCTTTGCATCACAGAAATAAATTGCATTTTAAAATACATTCAAATAGAGAATGGTGATTTTAAACTGTAAAAATATTTCACATTATTACAGTTTTTACTGTATTTTTAATCAAATAAATGCATCCTTAAAGGAACTAATTTTCCAACTCCACTAGAGTTAAACAGTTGAGTTTTACCGTTTTCGAATCCATTCAGCCGATCTCCGGGTCTGGCGGTAGCACTTTTAGCTGTAGCTTAGCATAGATCATTGAATCAGATTAGCCCGTTAGCATCTTGCTCAAAAATGACCAAAGAGTTTCTATATTTTTCCTATTTAAAACTTGACTCTTCTGTAGTTACATCGTGTACTAAGATCGACGGAAAATGAAAAGTTGCAATTTTCTGGGCCGATGTGGCTAGGAACTATACTCTCATTCCGGCGTAATAATCAAGGAATGTTGCTGCCGTACAACCAAGTTTTAAATAGGAAAAATATAGAAACTCTTTGGTCATTTTTGAGCGAGATGCTAACGGTCTAATCGGATTCAATGATCTATGCTAAGCTACAGCTAAAAGTGCTACCGCCAGACCCGGAGATCGACTGAATGGATTTGAAAACGGTAAAACTCAACTGTTTAACTCTAGGGGAGTTGAAAAATTAGCCTATTTTCAAAAATAGTGGAGTGTTCCTTTAATGAGCATACCAGACTTCTTTCAAAATCAATAAAAAATCTGACCCTGTGACTGCAACTTTATGCTGAATTTTAAGTCTGAATATGTAGTTAAAATATAATATAATGAAGTACAGTTTAGTAGTGATTTAGGAATATGCTTGTGCATGTGAATGTGGTCCTCAAAAGAGCTGGTTCAAGTCTTTCTCCAGTTTCTGCATTGTGGAGTTTATTTGTGTAGCGTGGCTGTATACGCTCTGATTGTGATGGCGGAGGTCCAGTCAGGAGAGACAGGCGGGCAGCACTCGTGTGAGGGATCCCATGTGCCTCGGCACTCCTGCAGCCGTGTTTACAGAAGAAACCCTGCAGTTTACACGGTTGTGTTGTGGCAGCGCTTTAGCAGCACCTCTGTTTCCTCTCCTCTGGACAGCGGGGCGGTTTGCGCTACGGTCCGGCGCGCCGCTCAGCCGTAGAGGTGTGTATGGAGCGAGCGGAGAGACGTTTTTCTAGCATGAACACACAGAGGTTATTCTCTAATGATGCTTTGTTTGCGTGAGTTTTACACAGTAGTGTTTTAAACACCCGGCTCTCTGGGTCTGGCCTTGCTTCCTCTGGTCAGGAGGATGGAACCATTATTTTTAAGAGTGATATATGCACCATTGTAGGAGATTATACGATCAGTGAATGTTTCACAGGATCTCAGAAGCTTGTTTCAATAGCCAGATTGTGACTTTATTTGATTGCTTGGACTGAAAGATGTGAGACAACTGAGCTGCTGGGCCATCTGCCATTCTTTTCTTGACTGGTTGGAGGAGGGATGAAGTATTTGCCATTGTTGTGTTATTGGTTGACAGAGGAGAGGCATATCATCTGGAGTCAAGCTGTCCGACATTCTTACGTTTTCCTCATGTCAGCACCAGCATAGACAGCCGTTAACGCTTCAGTCCACTCCTAAAAATAAAGGTCCCAGTGACCCTTTCCCCACCAAAATTGTGCCAATGAAGCTGAAGCTTAAAACTTGTGTGCTTCCATGGCAGAAAAGGCAACTCTGGGCCTGAAACATTAGATTAAAAATCTGTATTTACAAGCTTTTTACACTGTAATCACATGATCAGTTGACATATTCCAATGTAGTGTATTGCATAGTCGTATTATTTTATTTATATATAGCTTGTAAGGCAAAATTTTTCAGAATAGTTCCAGCATCCCTGAAATGTCTTTAATTTATTGGTCCATTTTATAAAGTGAGCTTTGGCATAATCCTCATGTCTCCTGATTTTTTTGATGTGCATCAATGGCTATTTCAGAGGCACTTTTCATGCACTTCTGTTCAGCTGAATTGACTCCAAATGTGACCCTGGACCACAAAACCAGTCATAAGGGTCAATTTTTCGAAATTGAGATTTATACATCATCTGAAAGCTGAATAAAGAAGCGTCGATGTATGGTTTGTTATGATGGGACAATATTTGGCCGAGATACAACTATTTGAACATCTGGAATCTGAGGGTGCAAAAAAATCTAAATATTGAGAAAATCGCCTTTAAAGCTGTCCAAATGAAGTTCTTAGCAATGCATATTACTAATCAAAAATTAATTTTTAATATATTTACAGTAGGAAATTTACAAAATATCTTATTTTTATATTTTTGGCTATTGCTGCAAATATACCCCAGCGACTTAAGACTGGTTTTGTGATCCAGGGTCACAAATGATGGTGATTGTAATGGAGGCTCAGCTCTCTTTAAAATCTCATGCACGAGGCCAGCAGATGTGAGCGAGGGCTTTATTTTGCATTTTATGTTGCATTTTCCTGCATCTAACTGTCTTTCAGCTGTATACGTCAGATCTTGGAGCCGTGTTCGTCTTAAAACTCGCCTGTTGTTTCATAATCTGTTCATATCAGAGCGGATGGAGTGAAAGCTGATCCCGTATCAACACCATTACTCTTTATTTCCAGAGTTTTATTCTCCAGGACCGCCGGCTCAGAGCTGAGTTTCTCTGCACTTAATTGCGCGACTGGTTACGGTCCAGGACAAACTGGAATCAAGAAGTAAATTGGGGGGAAAATGCAATCACCACTTCCCTTCGCTAGCAAAAAAACAGATCAGCTGTTGTCTGCTATCTAAAAATGTGTAGCGTAACGAGCCAAGAGAGATAATGCAGGATCCTGATTTCGGTCTCATGGCACATAAACTGATGTCGCACTGGATTACTGCTGAAATACCAGCCAGATAATCACTGCATTACCGCTGAGACATGATCATAGTGCTCTTATGCTTCATGGAGACTGCAGAAATCCTCCTTTAAAGTCGCTGGAGTTTCACTGAATGATGATCCATATTCTAGCTTTAACCGTCCTGTTGATCAAGCAGTTGGACGGGGATTTTTATCAATGGCGTGCTGCAAACATTGAGTCAGTTGAGGCAGGATCATGTTGCTAAACCTCTTGATGTTTATAAATGGAAATGGCTACAAGTAACTGCCCTCCTGCGGCTCCTGATGAGGAATTACCCTTTTGTTTGCTTTGTTTAATAACGATTTTATGGTTCATGCCTGTTTTGTGTTGTGATTTACTTTGCAGCCGCACATTGTGGTACGATTGATCTTTCGTTACGAGCCGTTTCTCGGAAACGGATGGAAAGAAGGCTGGTTATGTGTGTTTGTAATTCTGCAATAGTTCTGTGTAAATTGGCGTTTGCATAAATAGTCAAATCAAGTCCTGGATTGAAGAATATGACACTAAAAAGGTACTTTTTCTAACTTAAATATAATAACGATAATAATAATAATACAATAATTTTTTGGACGCTGGGCCATGGTAATTTCAAGGTTTTTGTATATGTACCATGGTAACATTTCTTTTGTACCTTGGATTATTATGCAAATACCATGGTACATGAATATGGCACTCATTTAGTACTGTGGTACTTTACATACATATGTATATATATACTGTATATATAGGGACATGGTATTAAAGGATTACCATATTTTGTTTTATTTATTATATACATTTCTAATAATTTATTATAATACTGTTTATATTATTTTATTATTTCTTTATCTAATTCATTTTTTTCATTGAATTTATATTTTAATATTTAATAATTAATTATAGATATATAATTGTCCATAATTGTATTAATTTTTTTTTATATAATTTGTTTTTTGACTTCAATTTATATTTTTATTTGATAATGAATTACAGAAAGTCCATATTATATATTTTTATTTTTTTTGTTTAATTTGAATTGTTTTATATTTTTATATTTAATAATTAATTATAGAAATGGTAATAATTTATTTTTATAATTTCATTTAAGATTTAAATGTATATTTAATTATTAATAATGGGCATTTCTAATAATGTATTATTTTTATTTTACATTTTTATTATACATTTTTTATTTTATTATTATTTTATCTATCAAGTGCTGCTCAGCTCTGAAATCCCCCCCCCCCCCCCCCCATATGGTGACTTTACCATGATACAGTACTTTTTTTCTGTAATGAACCCATTACATTCTCTTTATTCCATATGTTGGGCTGGAGTTGGACTTGTTGTGTGTAAATGGATGGGTGCTTTAATTGATATGGAGTATAACAGTCCTCATGCTTGTTTTCCATATTGAACTGATTTTAATCTCAATTGGAGTTTGTTGCGTC